GGTTGGGAGCTAGAGAGTGTTCTTGCTCTCCCAGAAGTCCCTCCAAAGCAGGCTGTTGTAGGACCTGGCTGCAGCTCAAAGCCCTGTTCCCTGGCTTGCACTCCTGCCCCCTCTGCCCTCAGCAGCTTCACATTCTGCTTTTTCTCCATGTCATGAAACTACCAGCCAGCACTCTTCAGATAGCATCATGCATCAGACTTATTCCCCAAATCACAATCCAAACAAACCTCTTTTCTTTACAAAGCAATCAGATTCAGGTATTTCACTCTCACAACACAAAATAGACTAAGACACTCGCCACAGCTGGTCTTGAATGGTAAAGAGTGAAATACGGATCACCACAGCCTGGAGGCCGAACCAAGCTCCCTCCCCCACCTGTCACACACCTCACCCTGCAGAGCTGGCTACACAGCACATTCTGGTGGATGTCGCCCGCTTCCGGCATCACCGAGGAAGCTATGGGCAAACTTCTCACCGGCACCTCCAGCCACCAACTCCTAGGGCTTTCAGAAGACACTGAGTGTATTCTTTCCCTGCTGCAGTCCAGCCCACAGATGTAGGAGCATGGTGTGCACACCTGCTGAAAACCACAGGACCAGGAAATGCTCTAGGCTGTCTGCAGCCTCAAGCCAGCAATTTCTAGGAATGCATGGTGTAAGCTCCTGGGAACCTTCTGTGGCTGGGAAAGGTTATAACAAAATGCAGAAAAGCAGGCAGGTCCATGGTTGTAGTTTAAGAATGACTTGCAGACAAGAAAAAGGAAATGGATTAGTCTTAAACACCAGCAGGAAAGTGTAAAGAGCCTCCCATATGGAGAACTTAAGATTACTATAAAAACAGGGACAGCGAGGCTAGCTATACCAAGGGTTCCAAACACCGCCTCACCCCTCTGGCAGTCTCCACCTCCTGTAACACATCAGCACACAGCCACAAGGGGCAGAGATTCCCAGTCCCACTGCTCCTTCCAAAAATGTGTCCTCCTGCCTGTCTAAATATTTAGCATTATCTTCTTTTAATGTAGTTTAATATCCCTAGGTAAACATTTGGCTTCTTGTATAGTTGTACCTATAGAATAAAAATGGCAATGTAAGTGCTCTAGCTTCTAAGCTTTGTTACCTTTGTGGTACAAACTTCCTATTATCTACTTCAGGTTGTAAATGTTTATATTTATCTGGAGCCAGTCACTACGAAAGGTCTTCAGGTCTACAAAGTAGAGGCCAGAGCCAGGATGCAAGCCCTATAGTGAAAGATTTTAATGGATACGCAACCACAAAGATATAGATATCTTACTCAGTGCATCCTTTGGCCATTGTATAATTAAAATAGGACAATGTTGGATTTTTACTGACAAAACAGAGCAAACTCTGTATGCTTTTAAAGTCCACATATCATACTTGGATTAACACTTCTGAAAACATAGCAGCATAGTATTAAACATAGTATTAAAGATTAAAGGTTTATATCAAACGCTACATACTTCTCTTATTTGTACAACTCTATGGAGCGGCTCTGCACCAATATTCCACTTCCATCTGAGTCCTTCCCTGCTAATTTAACATGGTTATAAGATGAAGCCTCAGCACCCATGACTTGCTAGTAACATCCTTGCCCCCTTTGCCATACTGTCAGAAAAGGGCCATTCTTCAAACCACGGCCCTGAGGTTCCTACGCCTCCTCTAGATCCATCAGACGGAGTGCAGGTACACTTCCTCGGGGGTTCCAGCAGCCTGAAGCAGCCATGGGAAGACAGACCTGTGGCCCCTCTCTATCCCCTGTGCATAAGAAATCAAAGTCTAGGAGGAGGAGATGAAGACAGTAAAAGTAAAGACAGGAAAGAGACAAGGAAAACAACAATTTAAAAATTGTACTAGTGAGAAGATGGCAGCGTCTGGACACTAAGTACCCAAGGTTGCCCAGATGTGTCCTCCCCAGACTCCTTTATGCTTTCTGACCTTCATACCCTGAACCCCTTAAAGATACTTTGTGTCCATAAACTAGCTTAGTTAATAAGGTGAAGATGAGAACTCTGACCTTCAGAATCCCAGTAGCCTGGGTCCCTGCTTTTCACATGGAGAATGTGCTGTCCTTCCACCCATTAAGTGAGTCATTATCTTTCCTGCTGTGGGAGGCTCATCGATTCTTGTCTATAAACCAAACTCAAACTCTCCATAAATTGACAAATTCCACAGATGTCTGCCACCAAACCAAATACATATTCTCACATGGGGCCTGGATACAGGAACTGTACCTGTCTTCCTGCTGGGATTTTGGGGTATGAAATTTAACTGGGGATATGGGTGATCTTCAGTTTTAGCAATATGAAAAGCATCCTTTATTTTGAAGATAAAAACTGTGTCTGTTCAAGTCACACAACATGACGCTTTAGTACACATATCCCAGAGAATTGCTTTGTGCTGTGGAGCTAATAGAAGAATCCGGCTACACATTCTTACCACCTCCCTCCCTCCCTTCTTCCTTCTCCCTCACTTCCTTCCTTCCTTCTTTCCTTCTTTCCATCTGTCCTCCCTTTCCTCTTTCTTTCCTCCTTCCTTTCTCCATGTGTTCTAAGCACACCCAAAATCTATTCTCATAGCCAGTGTCCAGTATACAGTGCAAGCTTGGTTATCATTTTCTCAAAGCTATTTGGTTTGGATCTCTGTTTGCCTCCATCACTGAAGGTACGCGCTGGTGATTAAAGTTGCAGCCTAAGACCCCAGTGAGAGCGAGAAATGAGAGGACCAAGCCACAGAGGCTCCACTCGTTGCCTTTGCCCAGTTCTGAGGGGAGAAGGCAGCTTCAGTGGATGAGCTCTCAGGGCTGTCACAGAGCCCACGGGTCCAGGCCACCCTCCTTGTGACTCAGACTGCCTGCTGCAGGCATGCACTGTGACCGGCTCCTTCCTCAATGACAGGGTGAGTTCAAAGCCCAAAGCTCAAAATACCATTGGACGGCAGAAAGTACCAGTTGCTTTCAACCTGCTTTCTAAATCTGGCCCTGGGATCCTCTGGTTCCAGTTAGGGGCCCCGGCCATGCCCTGGCACATGCACTGCTCTGCTGTGGGTGACCACAGAGTGACGTCCGGCCACGGCCACCAGAGCCAGCGCACAGCAGCGTGGCCCAGCAGAGGTCACGGCCGAGCCCTCGGCAGACGCTCGGGTGGCTGGCAGGTCATGATTTCACTTTGAAATGATCGTTCTGGAGAAATGCGCTTTCAGAAGCCACGAAGCTGGGCGGAAGTCAAGCAAGCATCGCTGGCCATGAAATCAGGGCCAGAAGGAACTCTGGATGTGGAATGCAGACAGGCTCAAGGCAAGGAAGCTGGATTCCGGGGTGCGGGGTCGGCAGAGCCCTGCGCTGTGCTGGGAGTGAGTACGGACCACTTGCTGGCGGGAACGTTGGTGGCTCGTGTGACAGGTGTCCCTGACACAGACACGCACGCAGTTCTGCGAGGGTGAACGGAGACCCCGTGCAAAGTCGTGGCAGCCTTGGTGTGAAGCATACTCTGCGGCCCAGGTGTGCAGCGTGCGGTGTCCCCCTCCCGGGCTGCACGTGCGACCCGCCCCTGATGACAACTTCATCTGTCCCTGTCCAGTGTCCTGCACTCAGCCCGGGTGAGATGCTCTCATTTACCAACGAGGTGAGTAGGAAGAGATTCGGACAGCAACATATTTCAGACTGGTGAACGCACACATTCCCGCGTCATCTGGCCATTTCATTTAGCTAGAAACACCCCGTAGAAACACCCCCAATGCAAGAAGGGGAGCATGTGGAGACGGGATGCTGCTGCAGCATTGTAAGAGTGAAAATTTGGAAACAACCTGAGTAACTCTCCAACAGTGAAATTGTTAAGAAAATTACAGTAAACATCTCCACACGCTGGGCAAGGCTGAGAAGACGTGCGAAGAATTCCAAGACGGTGACAGCTACGTAAGATTTAAAATTGAGCCCACCAATCTGTGTGAATGTTTACCAACCCGCAGCCCGGGAAACGAGCAAGTGCCTGGGCTACCGACAGGGAAAATGCAACAGGGATGAGAGCAGTAGACTTTCCCACGGCCTGTGAAAGCTGGGAGCCAGCAGGTGGGAGCGTTTGCATCTTATGCTGCATTGTTTTTGTTTTAGTTTTTTGAGACACTAAGGTGGGCAGGCTGGTCTTGAACTCCCAGACTCGAGTGATCCTCCTGCCTCAGCCTCCCGAGTGGCTGGGATTACAGGTATGCACCTCTGCACCCAGCTCCTCTTTGACATTTTGAATAATGAGACGCATTCTGATATTACTTATGTGCTGGGGTATAAATGTGAAAACAGTAAAAGCACCTAAAAGTATCCATAAATCAACCAAGAGTTGGTGAAGCCTGTAGAAGGAACTGTCCAGCGTGAGTGTCCCTGCTCCTTGTCCAGACAACCAGGGCCTGGGTGCAAGGTGTCACCCTAGTCCCTTGGTCCTCCCTGCATCTCTCCAGGGCCGTCCTCCACACACACCCCTCATGCACACTTGGCACATGTGCTGTGTAGCTGGTGACAGACAAGGGAAGGCATTTTATACATGCTCCCTCCCCTCTCCTCACCCCGTGTTTTCATTTAACTTCTAATGCAGCATGTGGGGAAGGAAGGGAGGGAGGGAGAGGGAGGGGGAGGGAAGGGGAGGGAGGGAGGAAGCAAAGTGAAGCAAAGCAAAAAGAAGCAAAGCAGAGGAAAGGGAAGCCAAGCAGAGGGGCAGCCTGTGGAGGGCAGGGGGAGCCTGGCAAGTGAGCTGGAGTGAATGCACGCCTTGCTCTGCTGGCCGCCAGCCCATGTGCCATGGCCGTTACCTCCAGTCTCTGCCCGCCCGGTGGGCAGCACTGCCCTGTGGCTCCCTCTCCTTCCTGTCTCCCCAGGAGCCAGTTGGCGGGGACGGGGTGAGGTCCAAGGTGCAGAGTCAGGCAGACTCACTTGGACCACAGCCCACTGAGCCACGCCCCTGCCCTGGCCAGCCCTCCCCCAAGCCTGGCCCCACTCACCACGCTGATGCCGTCGTTGAGCAGAGCCTCCCCGAAGATCATCATGTAGAGCTGCTCGTTGACCCGCGCCTCCTCGAACACGGCCAGCACGGCCACTGGGTCCACGGCAGAGATCAGGCTGCCGAAGAGCAGGTTTTGCAGCAAGTGCAGGTCGCCCAGGCCGAAGGCCTGCACCTGGCAGACCAGGTAGAGGGACAGGCCGATGCCAAAGGCGTTGATGAGCGCGCCCAGGCCTGCCCACCACAGGATGGAGCCCAGGTTCTCGAAGAAGGGCCGGGTGGGCATGAAGTAGCCGCTCTCCAGCACGATGGGCGGCAGCAGGTAGAGGAAGTAGATGCTGGAGTCCATGACAGGCGGCGACTTGTGGTCAGTGCCGAAGATGACGCTGCCCACCAGGGCGCCCACCAGGATGAGCAGGCAGCTCTCAGGCATGAGGCGCGGCAGCCGGCGGTAGAGATGGAAGCCTGCGGGCGAGAGGAGTGTGGCCGGGTTTACAGGGTGCCGTGTGGGGTGCACGCCCGTCTCCCCGGCCCGAGAAAGGATACAGGACACAGCGACAGTGCTTCTCGGGCAGGGGCTGGGGTGCGGGGGGCTGCAGCCAAGGTCCCATGCTCCTGAAGGGTGTGGTGCTGCAAGCCTGTGATCCCAGCAACCTGGAGGCTGAGGCGGGAGGTTTGCAAGTTCAAGCCTAAGCTGGCAACTTAGTTGACCTAGCAAGACCTTGTCTCAACGTAAATACATAAACCAGTAAATGAATACAAAGTCTTTAAAAGGGGCTGAGGATGTAACTCTGTGTGAAAGTCTGTGTTCAGTCCCCAGCACAGCAAATCAATCAATTAGTTCATCAATCACATGCCTGGCTGGTCTTACTCAGTGTAGGTGACAGTGTCATTCCTATCCACTGTCGCCTCCTCTTCTTCCTCCCTCTCTTCCATCTTCTAGGGGTCTACAAGGGGATGGAAAGGAGAAAGAAAGAAGAGACGTCTGCAGTCACCCAAACCCAGCTTTCACTGCCTGTGACATGTAGACATGGCCACCCAACACTCAGCCTGTCCCTGAAGGACCTCACCTGGCCTCCTCCTCTTCACCAAGCAAATACCCAGAAATGAAGCATCTTCATTTTGTCTCTCTGTGGAACCAGTGACTCTGACAAGGAGACGGGGGCTACTCTCCCACAAGCCTTTGCAGGCCACTCAGTCGGCCGGTTCCTCCGGGCAGCGCCCTCACCAGCGCCCCCAGGCCCCGCCTCCTCTCCACGCCACCGCCACTGTGTTACTGGGGCCTCCTCCCTGTCCTGACCACGCACTGTTTCCAGCCTGCTGCCGTGGTTAGGGTCCTGAATGCCCTCCAAGCCCGTGTGACGAAGGCGTGGGCCTCAGGGCTGCCCTACTGGGAGGAGATGGAGACTCGGAGAAGTGGAGCCCAGCCAGTGGGAGATCCTCAGGTCACAGGGTGGCCCCAAAGGGACACAGGGCCCCCGTTGCCTTCCACCAGTGTGTTTCCTTCCCAGTAACGAGTCTGTCTGCTGTGATGTTCTGTTGCCCAAGGTATCCGAAAGGGATAGCGCAGCCACAGACCAGAACCCTCAGAACTGCCAGCCAAAGCCCTGTTCTTAGCTGCTTACCGCATCTTGGGCATTTTAACAGTGATAGAAAGCTGGTGCACACTCCTGCCATCCCACCCTGCACCCCGGGCCGCTCCTCACTCTTCAGGCAGGTGAGCGGTCTGCACCGCGTGTGTCTGATCATCTTGATTCCCACCTAAGACTCAGAAGGCACAAGCATCGCCTGGGGTTTAACCTGACGAGTGCTCCCCCGTGAAGACCAACTTTAGGGACACTGAGGCTGGTGGGAAACCAGCGATGGAAACTATACTATAACTCCCACTGTGAGGCTTTAGAAAAACGTGAACAAATAAAAGAATGGAGATAACTGACCTGAGGGTGTGATGAAGGGCGTGTTGAATCCACCAACAGACAGACTGGAGCTCTGTGGCTCAGCGCGGGGCCTCCCCACCTCCATCTCCCCCTCCCAGCCTGCCCTCCCGCCCAGCCTACACGACAGCCCACCAACACCTTCCCACCCCCCAGCTCCTGTCTGGTCTTCTGATTTTATTATCTCTGCTGGAGTTCTTTTTCCCTTGGTCTGTTTAGGTTCTGCTCTGAATTGCAGCTAAGCTTTTCCCAGCTTCTGTCTGAGTAAATTCTATATCTTCTCTGAGTAATCAAAGCAATTTACCTGCCTAATACCAATGACCCTTATGGGGGCTGGGGATTTAGCTCAGCAGCACAGTCCCTGCCTGGCAAGCTCGAGGTTGTGAGTTCAATTCCCGGAACCAGGAAAAAAAAAAAAAAAAAAAAAAAAAAAAGGACCCTTACCTAGCATTTTTTTGTGCACAACTTATCTCCCCTACTAATCAGCAAATTCCCCAAAATCAGAATAGGTCACCTGGCTGTATCTCCCCGAACCCATGTATTAGCAAAGTGTCTCATCTTCAACAGCCGGTCTGTTTGCTGAAACAATCTACAAGTGTAAAATGAACCAGTGAGTGGGTTTAGTGTCCACCAGAGATGCTCTTACTGGGAGGAAATTGAGTGCACTGTTAGAAGTGCAGCGTTAGTGTGCTGTGAATGGGACTCACACGAGGTGGACGGTGGGATGGGAGATGATTCGAGGAGGGAGAAGTTCAAGAGCAAAGGAGAGAGGCGGGGGCGGGGGAGGGGCTCGGACAGGAGCTTGTAGTCTCCACGGGGGAAATCCACCTTGCTGAGGCAGATTGTGAATTGGGAAGAATATTAGGAAAAGAGCCGGGAGATTGCAAAACTAAGGCAGCTCCTCCCATCGGCTGTGGGAGCTGGTGAGTGTTCCCCCAGGAATTCCTGGGTTCAGCCACCCAAAGCGGATATGGGCTTCCCCAACCACAGCTTTGAACACCTCCACTCACGGCCAGCAGGGAGGGGGACAATGTGGGGTACAGTTCTCCTCGGGGCCACCCCACACTTCCTGGCCTCCAGGTCAGTGTAATCCCTCTTCTAATCCTGGATTTTCTATTTTGTAATCACCACTTTTTCGGCCTCCTCCTTCTCTTCCTCTCCTTCTTCTTTTTCTTCAGCTAGCACTTATTTAACCAAACTTAACTTTCCTTCTTATGTCAAGGAGGTGGAAGAACCCATACCACAGTTCCCTCAGACCTGCCCCTGCTGTGGGGGATCCAGCTTCCCAAGACAGACCCAGCCTCTCCCGCCTTTGGTCCAGGTGCCCGTGGGGTTGAAGCTAGAAGAGGCTCTGTCCCCACAGGCTGCGCACCTCTGAGGAACACGCTGCACACACTTCCCGCCCAAAACCTGTCTCCCTCTCTGAGGGACCCAGGGTCGGCCACCTTCACACAATAAGTGCACCTAAGTAATAAAGTCTTGATGAGAATCAGAGATGAACCTACAACTCCATCCCTCCCAACGGCTCAAAGGACATTTTTCCATGGTGTCCTAAAAGGCAGTAAAAGACAACCCACAGAGTCTGGCGTGATTTTTGGTAGTCTTTGCCCTAGCACATCTTTCCTGTATTAATGCATAGTTAGTTGTTCTAAGAAGGATGGGGAGGAATTTTTTGTGTTTTTCTGACAGCCAACAGTCAGTTCTAGGTCAGCCCTGCTTCTCGATTAAACTAAGTCCCTTGAAGTCGAGGGCCACGGTCACTTCCACGTGTCACACAGCGCTTGGAATGCGCCTTGATTGGATGAGGGCTCACAGAATAAATAACACAACAAGGGCTATGGTGTTTCTACTCAGGTTTGAAACACAGTCTTTAAGACTCCTGTGCACTCCTTGAGTGTGCGAGTTTTACAGATCATCATCAGCATCATTACTACTTTGCCATTTTATATAAAACTCCAGCCCAGCAGTTGGCACACAGCCTGCGCTCCATAAATAAGCCTCTTCCCCGCTTGCTCCCCACCCCTCACAGAATACAGGAGCTCTCCGGATTCCTGAAGACGGGCGAGCATGGGGTCACCCCTGAGTAAGCATGTTCCGGCGGGTAACCTGCTTTGGTGATTGCCTCCTGTGCGGTGTGCTGGGACATGGTGCACAGCGGAAGCCCAGAGCCTGTGACCCGCCATCCCACCCACACCGCGTCCCACCACCTTTCTGCGAAGAGCCTCTCCGGAGCCAGCTATGCTTTCCGCCAGGGTAAAACCAAGACAAGACGGACCCTGGGGGACAAAGGGACCGGCTACTCAGGGGCAGGTCCGGCTTCCCGGTCCCCACACCACAGTCCCTCATTCCTGGGGGGCAGTGGAGACACAGCAGGAGCAGAGTCCTTCACAGAGGAGCACCCAGGTTCCACAGAAGACCCCAGAGTGTCCCAGTGTCCATGTGTCTTTCTGGAAAGCATGTGACTGTCTGCTCTGAGCTGAGGACATTGCTATTTATTTATTTATTTATCTCTTGGCGCTGGATCAAACTCAGGACCTTGCCCTTGTCAGACAGGCGCTGTGCTGCTGAGCTACTCCCCGACCTGACGTTACTACATAGAGAGTCACTGTTTCTCAAAGTCATCTGTAAAATAGCGTGAGAACCTCTGTGTAACTTAACTGTTTAACAAACAGAAAGAGTTCTCCAGCCTAACGGCTCCCATTCCATCTTCACTCTGCAGCAGCTCACGGGGACAGCTGTCAGAAGGGGCGCTGCTGAGGACACTGTGCCTGGACCCGGGGGAGGGCGTCCGTGCATGACCGGGGCCCACGGGCCCACGCACAGACCGCACAGCTCTCAGCCCGCATCCTCCCCGACCCGAGAAGGGAACACACATGAGCATGCAGGTGGCCCCGAGAGTCTATCTCAAGAGGCAGTCTACACGCTCTGTATTGAGTTACACTGAGGCAGAGGAGACATTAGGCTGAGCAGCTGAGACAACCACGCTGATCTTCCACTTTGGGGTACACTGGTTTTAAGGGAGCCCTAGGGGTTAAATAGAGTGTGACCACTGCTGTGGTTTGTGGCATGAAGAATGCTTCACTGGAATTTAATCCCTCACCCAAAGTCCCCCTCATTCACAGAGGAAAGCAGAGCTGCGCCGTGGGCTCTGACTGAGGTGCAGACCAACCTTGTGCTGGTATTATCGTGCCCGAGCCCCTGTCTCACCCAGATGGAGGTCCACCAGCTCCTCGTGCCTGGCATTTGGCGAGGAACACAGGCCACCTGAGAAGAAAGAACTACAGGAGCCAGGGTTGTGCCCGACAGTGCACAGCCGAAGATGCAGATCAGGTGCTTTACAGAAGAAACAGTTTGAGGCTCCTGAAATTTCCAACCCACACCGCCCTGAGGGCTTCACGCTTTATACATTATGTGTTTACAGCACAGAACGGGAGACTTCTATGACAAGTCACATGGTCGTCACCTCAGAAGGAGAAGGGTAAACAGCTCCAGACCCAGAGGCACGCACCTACATTTCAAAGCCCGATGCCGAAGCATGACACAGCGCTAAGGGCAACAGCGTGACTTTTCCTGGACTGAAGGGACCAGAAGTTTTCTGCAATCACAGTGACAGCTCACATAGAAATAACTCCCCAAACAGGTGTTCAAGGACTTACCTATTTTTGCAAGAGACGCTAGAAGTATCCAGAGGGTCACCTCGTAAGGAACCTGCACGTAGTCATAGTCCAGCTCAAACACAGAGATCCTCTCAGCCGGCTCTCTGCTGGAGGCAGCGAACCGGGCACTCACGGCATCTTGGGCAGTGGAATTTGCAGATTCATTCGAGTCGGAAGCTGCTTCAGCACCGGCGAGGGCCACCAGCAACAGCAAGCAGCTCGCAGGGCTTGCAGGCAGGAGCATCTTAAGAGCCATGCCGCGGGCTGTGCTACACACCTGGGCGCTGCTGGTGCCCAGCACCTGCGGTCGGGAGGACGTCTAGACACCGGCCGCGTCCACCCGGTCCAAGGTGACATCCACGCGTCCCTGAAGCATTCCAAGGGGAGTCCAGGTGTGGACGCTGTCTGATCTTCTTTGAATCATTTCTTTCAGGCATTCGGCTTCTGGATCACAAGCGGTCCTCCAATGAATGTGTGGAAGCCCCGGGAGCTACCTGGAGGACCTCCAGCCCATCGGGACTTGAAGAACACCTTAAAAAGGAGAAGAGCTCTCCTCTGCCAAAGCTGTTCACCCCCTCACTGCCTGCTGGCTCTGTCTTGGTAGTGAATATTGGAAAGGCACCACAACCTTATTCCATTTATCACGGAGAGCCTGTCTTTACGGAGGGGATCCTTCCCACACCGTCAGGCCCCAGGACGGAGCTACCTGCCCTGCACCTGTCCTCGCTCCTCCTCCTGCTCTCTGCCTTCTTTTGAATGGCCCAGGCCGCAGGTAGCTCTAACCACACTTAATTATTTGCTCTGATTTGACTTCTATGATGAAGCGCTTGCTGTGTGTTCTATAGGGGCCGCTGCTGACACCTAGTGGTCTCCTGTGATACGACACCCTCGACGCATGCAGTAGAGCAGTTAATAACCATGCAAGACCATAAGCGTGGATCAGGAGTGTCCAGGGAAACGGTGAGGCGGTCTCGGTACACGGGGCAGGATGAGGCGGTGAAGTGACCAGGATGACACACACCGGCATGACCCACGACCACACCCCGGAACAGTCATTCGTGGAAAGGTTGCAATGCCAGCTCTCCGTACACTTCATACAGAATGACTTTAAAGACAACCTGATGGAGATCACTACGAAGCAGCTCTGAGCAGGATTTAAATTAACCACTGGCTTTCTGTGTTTGTGTGTGAGTCTGTCCCAGGCCTAAGCTTCGGTCTGGAGATGGGCAGTGGACTCATAGTAAGTGAACCTCTGTGAGTCAGGGGTCCTGGCTGAGGCCTGTAGTGGCCTGTCATCGCATGACACCTCAAAGGACAAGACAAGGCCACAGCTGTCAACGCCTGGCTCCAACCTCAGTTAACTAGATAAAGACTGTAGCTGCAGACATCTCACTCCACAGGACTCTCACTTCACAGGAAGGGTGAAGGCCTTCCTGGAGATAACGTAGTTCTCCTAAATTAACATAGTGTATTACTTGGAGAAGTCCTTGAGCAGACTTCCAAGGTCCTTGAATAGTCCTGCTCAGATTCCCTCCTTTCTCCTGTATTCCTCTTTGAAAAACAAATAAATATGGGCCACCCAGAGAAGATTTTTGTCTCAGCCCCCAGAGAATCTCGAATTTTGCTAGATGGTTTTGATCCTCTTAGAGCCCTAAAATCACACCATTTGATTTTTTTTTATTTAAGCCTTCACGTACACTCATTTTGGGAGATTGTGGGCCTAATCAGTTCTGGATAACTAAGAGATAATATTAACCCATTCAGAAACCAAATAACGAATTCCAGAAATACATCAAAGAGACAGTTATGAAAACTCCATGGAATATGCATGTTTTCCATCTGGAAATGCATGTTTTCTACATCTGGCCAGGTGAACACTGCAAACCTACTCTTAGTTCTTCTACATCTGGCCAGGTGACTTTGAGCACACTACTTACCTGTCTAAGGTGCTTCACCAATAAGTTAAAGGGGGGGGGGGGTCCAGCAAGGTAGAGCAAGGAAGGTATTTGGTATAGAGTTGGTACTTAAGAGCTGTCAGTTCTCACTAATTTCAACTGTATGATTTGATCTTCTAAATATCAAACACACCACTGCTGTAGAGAGCAGTCCTCAGTGGAAAACGAGAATTATTATTCACAATTCACACACTACCTCCATATCTCCTCTATAGCAAACTGCAAGGTGATCTGTGTTTGCTCCTCTGCGCCCAGGAGGGGGTGCAGATACCCCCCCCAACCCTCTGCAGAACTCATTGGGAAGTGGAGGGAGATGGGTTGAGGTCCTAACACCGAAGTGTACATTCACCCCAAGACACTAGAACTAAGAATTGAAGATTTTTTTTTCTCTTTCCTTCATAGTCTGAGTCCAAGATGGAGTAAGTCCAGTCACTAAAATGCGACTGTCGAGAGGTTCTAAGAAGAACACTATTAAGTCTACTGGGTTTTTTTCTCAGAAAAGAATACATGAATAGTCCCATAACAGAGCTTCCTTTAAAAAATAGATGTTTTACTTTTATCTATATTTTGGTGTTCTTTTCTTCTATGCAGAAATGAAAGACAGATTGAGACAGGAAGAGTGAGAGAGAAAGAGAGAGAGAGAGACAGAGAGAGCGAGAGAGAGAGAGAGCAGATTCCCATGATGCCCCGCGGTAAGGCCACACCCGAGCATCAGGAGCTCTGCCCTGGGAGGCATGGGTTCCTTGGCGTCCCTGGGAAGCCCGCCGTCTTTGTTGGTGCCTCATTCTCCCTGTCTGAAGAGAGTGAAGATGCCATTAACACCAAGCATCCCCTTCCTGCTCTGAGATTACACACATCTGGGGCCCCTTAGCCTGTTCACCTTAGGGCCACCCGGTAATGACAGCAGCGTAGTTTCCAGAGCGCCCACTAGCTGTGCTCCACGCTAAGACTGAGCTGCCCGCCTCGTCCCCGCCTGGCATTGCTTCTGTCTCAGGCTCCGCTAAGGGGCCCTCCCAACAGGGGCACAGGCTGTGTGGGTCAAAGCCTCCCGCGGGGAGGGTTGTGAAGCCAAGGAGAGGCATCTCTTGAGGGACAGCTGCACAGAGGCCCACGGCTCAAAGAGTCACTAAACCAGAGCAACAGCCCAGAGCTGCTCCCCGTGCTGGGGCACCGGCAGCAGAAGGGGGTCTCCCAGGTGCCTGTGAGCCCGGCCTGAACACAAGGTGAGCCTGGGCCCCCAGCACCCTTCAGCTCTACGGAAAGCTCTTCTCCAAAGAGTCTGGGCTCCCTCTCACCCCGGCATCAAGACCAGAGCTGTCATGTCTACCCAGAAAACCTGGGCTGTCTGCATCTCCTCCCACACCCTGCCCCACCCCCAGGAAGGTGTCCCATGAGCCCTCTTGGACCCAGAGACCCTTTTCCCACACAGCCCCACGGACAAGACTGAAACCGACCTGGGCCCAGCAAGGCAGAAACACAGGGTCTCAGTCCCTGTCGCACCAAGTTTCCTATAAGCCTCAGTTTTCACACTTGGAGGAAGCAGCCAGAGCACCCAGCGCCCCTCATAACCAGCATGTCACTCCTGGGGAAGCAGGTGGCTGTCCTGTCCCTGTCTCCAGGGTGGAGGAACAGAAGTCCTGCCCGAGGGAGAAGGCACAGCCACAAACATCAAGATCCACGGCAGTTTCCAGGGTACAGGTTGGACTTGGAGGAGACAGGAGGTTCGCGTCTGAGGGGACTTGGATGTGAGCAAGTCGGAAGAGCTGGGAGCTGCACGGCCGCCCTGGGTGGGGCCGCTGTGACCAGGCAGAGACAGATCAACAGGTAGAGTCCTGAGAAGAAGGAGCTTGGTCAGCAGCAGCTGGGTGCGGGAGGTGCAGCCTCTGCCTTCAGCAGTGTCCTCCCTTCCTCAAAGGGAGCGTCTTTTAGATGATTTGCCAAGGGAAGGTATGAAGCAAGCTATGTGGCTCCCAGACGGGATGAGCGCCTCAGCTGTGCACTGTTTCAAAAACCAGCGTCTCCTGGAAAGCCGGCTGTGCGCATCTTAGCCCGGTGATGTAGCTCAGGAGAGCGCTGTCCGGGGCTGGAAAGAAGACACAGGCGATGGACGTTTCTGTGCTGGCCAAAGCGACTTGTGTCTGGGGTTTGCTGCCGTCAGAGCAATGCAAGCTCCTTCAGGTGAGGTCTCCCCCTGAACTGGAGCCCAGGAGTCCGGAAAGGAGGTGTGTGCAAGCCTAGCTGAGCTCAGAATCCCGCCCGACACGAGCTGCAGGGCAGAGCTGGCCCACAGACCGAGCGGGAGGAAGAGGAACTTCCGAGAGTTGCACATTCAGCCTCAGGACAGAGACACAGAAAAGGGTGACAAACCGGAAGTTCAACGGCAGAGCCAGGAGGTCTCAAAGGCTGGCTCTGAAGAGACCCTGAGAAGGCGCTGACTTCCATCAGATCGGCCAGTGGCCCAAGGCATTGCTGAGAACCGGAGGCCACTCTCTGGCACGCTGACATCCATACAGCCAGCTGCGAGTTGGGCAGGGAGATCAGCAAGAGAGAATGTTGCAGAGAGGCCGGCTAAGTACGGTCCCCAGGCCGAGGAAAGACGCTGGGATCCAGGAGGACCATGGCTGCCCTGGCCAGGGGCTGACATGGAAGTATGCCCTGGAAGCTGACTTCTGGACGTGGCCCAGCCAAGTCACAAAACACATGCTAAACCCCAAGCGGCTCCGGGTCGAGAAGCGGGGAGAATCAGCATCGAGAACTGCTCAAAGGTGGCACAATATATTCTGTTTGTTTTCGACTATGGCAGCCCCGAGACACCCTGCTGTCCACAGGCATGCGCAGTCAGGCCCCAAGGTGCGGGTGGGACGGGAGAAGGGAGGACCGGGCTTTGCCAGGGCAAAGGCTGGGGCCGCGCATGTCTGACGAGCATTTTCAAAAAATGAGTTCAGTCCATCAAGAGGATCTAAAAAAGACACTTGTGTGCAGTAACTCGGTAAAATCCTCACCACGGTGAAAGCGCTGGAGTTCACGGTGAGAGACCACGCAGGTCCCCTGGGGTCAGAGCAAAGACAAGGGTGTCCGCCCTCTCTGTTTCTGACATTCCTTTTCTTTTAATTTTTAGTTGTATTAACACACGTGTGTGGTACGTGAGGCTCACACTCATCGCGGGGACTTGGTCACAAACACACTACACCTTCATGCTTCCCTCCCCCTCCTCCACCTCGGCCCCCTCCCCATCTGCAAAGTTCCATCTCCCTGTTTTCTATCCTCTACCTTTTATTTCACCCTTTAATTTATTTATACTCTGGGTTTCTCATATAAGAGAAGCCACAGGACACTGTAGTTGTGTGTGATTTATTTCACTTACCATTATGGTCTCCAGGTACATCCATCTTCCTGCAAATGACTCAAGCTTATCCTTCTTTATGGCAGAGTAGCGCTCCACGGTGTGTAAGCACCACATTTTCTTGACCCGTTCATCTGTCGATGGACATACATGCCTCCTCCAAGCTTTGGCTGTTACTCATTGCCCTGCTGAAAACTGGGGTGTGCGTGGATCCCTGCGACGTGCTGTCTTCGGTCTTTTGGGTAGGACTTCCGCTGTTGCCCCTCCTCAGCATCCTGCTGGAGGCTCCGTACAGGGTGACTGAAGAATAACAATAAAGTGCATCTCACCAGAAGGGGGAAAAGAAAACAATTTCTGTTTGCAGATGACATCATCTTCTATAAGAAAATCCTAAATAGTTGACCAAAAATATTGAGATGTAATAAATGAGTTCAGCAAGCTTATAGGCTATGAGACCAATATACAAAAACAAATTTTACTTTATAGTGAGAGTAAACAACTTGAAATTCAGGAAACAATGCCACTTACAGTAGTAAC